TGTTGATTTCTGGCAGTTTCAGGTTCAATGTGAAGATCAACAACTAAGGGTACTGTTGAGTTACTTGAACCAGGAGTTGATTCTCTTTTTGATGTGCATGAATGAGAGTCTCTAGAGTGAGGAGTTGCTACTGTAGTCCTATGAGAAGGAGTAGACATAGAGTGACTTGGCACAAGTGGATGATCAGCCATTTCAGTCTTTTCCTCAACTTGAACTAAAGGAGGTCCCATGATTGACTGAGAGTAGGAACCTTTGGTAAGAACTTTTGTTTCTTTGTTTTGAAGAAAAGGAAACAGTGTTTCTTCAAACACAACATGTCTGCTAATCAGGATTTTGCCAGAGGAGAGTAAAACTTTGAATCCCTTATATCCATCTTCATATCCAATAAAGGTTCCAGGAGAGGATCTAAATTGCATTTTGTTCTTGTTTAAGTGTCTGATATAGGGATAGCAAAGACATCCAAACACCCTTAGGCTGTTGTGGGCTGGTTCAGTTTTGAACAGAATTTCATGAGGAGATTTTCCATGCAAGACTCTAGTAGGTAGTTTATTTATGAGATAGACAGAGGTTCTGAAGACATCTACCCAATAAGTGTATGGTACACCAGATTGAGCAAGCAAGGAGAGAGCCACTTCAACAATGTGTCTGTTTTTCCTCTCAACTAGACCATTTTGTTGAGGTGTGTAGGGACATGAGTGTCTGTGCACAATACCATGAGTCTTAAGAAATGGTGTAAAGGGCTGAAACTCACCACCACCATCACTTTGCAGAATTTTGATCTTAGCACTGAATTGAGTTTCAATCATGCTCTTGAACTGAGTAAATGCTTGCAAAGCATCTGACTTGTTCTTAAGAAAATAGATCCATGTAAATCTAGAGTACTGATCAACAAAACTGATATAATACTTATGACCTGTATATGAATGCACTGGAGTGGGTCCCCATAAGTCACAATGAACAAGTTCAAATGCACAAGTATAAGTAGACTGAGATTCAGGAAATGGTAATTTGTGAATTTTAGACTTGCAACAAGCATCACAGAGAGTAGGAGTTTCAGTTTTGCTGACTTGTTCATTACACTTAGATAATACTTGATTCACTACATCAAAAGAAGGATGTCCAAGTCTTTGATGCCACACATTATAGTTTGACTTCTTGGAAAGCATAGAAACATAAGCAAAGGAACTAACTTTATTACAATAGTCTGCACTTGAGCTTGAAGTTTGACCAGTCCTCTTTGAACAGCTGAGATCATCAAACTGGTAGAGTCCATCCTTAACTCTCCCTTGAAGTAGGACTTGCCCCGAGGTTTGATCCTTGACAAAGCAAAATTGAGGGTGAAACTCAAAGTAGACAGAGTTATCCATGGCAAATTGAGAGACACTTATTAAATTTTTTGTGATGTTTGGAACCAGAAGGAGATGTTTTAAAAGAAAAACTGAGGTGCTGGATTTAGACTGAACATGTGATGATCCCACATGTGTAATAGGCAGACCTGTTCCATTTCCCATATGCATTTTGTTGCTGCCTTGATACTCTGAAGCTGAAGCTAAGTTTCCCATGTCATAAGTGACATGATTGGTTGCACCAGAATCAGGATACCATGCACCATCTGAGACAACTGAGCTTGAGTCTTGCTGTGCTACCATTGCTTGAAAGTTCTGATTTCTTCCTCTAAAAGTGTTTCTTTGGTTGTTCTGATTTGATGAGGTAGGAGTGAAGTTGAGGTCACACCTATAATAGCACTTATCAGCTGTGTGATTAGTGTAGTGACAAATTTGGCATGCATTCCTTTGATTGTTTCTCCCCCTACCTCTACCTCTGCCTGACCTACCCCCTCTGAAGTTTTGATTTCCTCTTCCTGCAAATGAGTTAGAGGAATAGTTCCCATCCTTTTTGGTAGTTTGAGAGGTGACATTGACAGAGAGAGCATGATTGTCATCTAAAGTGACACTACCAGCAGATTCTAATCTTGACTCAAAACTTAAGAGTAAAGCACAGACTTCATTTAGTGTGAAGGAGTCAGGTTTTGAAGTAACAGTTACCACTACCGAGTCATATTCAGAGCCAAGACCAACAAGAATGTGGAGAATCTGGTCATTTTCTTTAACTTTCTGGCCAGTAGAAGCAAGAGAGTCACAACACAGCTTGATCTTGTTAACATACTCTCTCATTGTAAGACTTCCTTTCTTCATTGTTGAGAGTTGTAGCTTGTATTGCATTTGTCTTGCCAAAGACTGACTCGAGTAGTTCATTTCAAGAGTTTTCCACATCTCATGGACAGATTCAACTCCCACCAGAAGGACAAGCAAACTCTCAGACACAGATGACAAAAGCCAGGAGGCTAGAAGCTGATCTTGCCTTTGATAGGCAAGAAATTCTGGGTTGATGACTAGTTCTTCCACACCTTCCTTCTGTGTAAACTTCGATGGAACTGAGAGAGTGCCAAAGAGATACCCTTCTAGTCCATAGCCCTTCACTGCAGCTAGGATCTGCTGTTTCCATATGAGAAAATTGTTTTCAGACAGTTTTGTAGTGATGATTTGAGCTTGAGGTTGAATGACTTGAAGATTTGAGGTTGAATTTATTTGAGAGGGATTTGTGTGAGTAATGGTGAACGGGGTTGAGCTCGAGGATTCTCCCATGTTCAGATCTCAAGGATAAAGCTGTAGATAAAATATTTTTTTTTTGTTTTTTTTTGTTGTTTTTTTTTTAGAATGATTTAAGTGACAGGACAGATCATGGCTCTTGATACCATGAAAGGTTTCATGAAAATGGAAAATAACTTCATTGAAGAACGTGAGTACAGATTCAGAATGGCTGCCATACTTTGGCTAAGAGCCTTACAATGCTTTTATACTAAGACAAGAAAATAAACCCTAGAAGGAAAGATGACTCATCACATGAGACAACTAACATTAATGCTAAACAAATGGACGTTGCATGTTGCACAAGAAAGGTAAGACATGTACTGATCAAAGTAGACATGTGCTAGGATTATATGAACCACATATTAAGCCTTATGTTTAACACAGTTAATGCTTTATTTTGCGCTCATCTTCACTATACAGAAAGATTGATTTACAGAAAAATGGTTGTACACCATATGGCACATTATCAGTCGTCCCCCGTGATGATTCTCTATTTTCGTTAATGATCGAACCAACAAAAATAAGTATGCAATACAGTCGTCCTACATGCCGAGGGGCTTCGATTTGTGGGGCTTGTTCAAGAGTTGGAGGAAATTGGGCTTGTCGTTCACATCTGAGTGCTCTGCCCAGACGACCATGGCCAATATAGAGTAGAAATATACCCCAGTGCCTTAGTTCAAGCCTGCAAGGGAAGAAATTGACATCATCAACATTCAAAAGATCAGTAAAAATACCAATTGTAGAGCCTTCTCGAAAAATGGAGAACGTCCTGGAAGCATGTGGAAGAATCTAAAAGCATGTGGATCCTTTGGGAGCAATATAGATATAAACATCCTAGAACATTGTAAGGCTTTGTAGGTAGGGAAAAAAATCATATAGATTGTTCTTGGACATATGTGTAGGAAGGAGGAGCTTTGTAGAAGAGTGCCCTAATACATTATAGGTTCTAGAGAATTTCTAAGACATTATAAGTTTTAGGCTATGTTTGGTTCAACTGAGAGGAGGGGAGGGGAGGGGAGGGATTTTAATGGAAGGAAGGGGAGGGGAGGGGAGGTGATGTGATGTAAAATAATTTTACCTTGTTTGGAGGGATTTGGAGGGATTTTGTAGGAGAGGAGTGGAGGGAAAATGGTAAACCTTGTTTGGTTAGAATAATGGAGGGGAAGGAAAATATTGTAGAAATGATAATTATATCCTTAATGATGTAAGAAACAAAATAATAAAATAATTTATACATAAAGGATAATATAGTCATTTTATGTGTTAAAAATTTTCTCTCCCCTCCAAATTCCTCCACTTTTGGAGGGGAGGAGATTTTCCCTTGGAGGAGGGATTTGAAGGGAAAATATCAATCCTTCCTCCTACAAAAAAAATTGAACCAAACAAGGGAAAATTATAAAATTCTCTCCCCTCCCCACCCCTCTCCTCCGTTTCCCTCGAACCAAAATAGTTAGGATATTTTGATCCTATAAATAGAGAAAATCATCTCATTTGCAAAGTATTTAAGTATCTAAAGAATTAAAAGAGAGTGTATTAATAAAATAGTTAGGATATTTTGATCTGGATGAGTGACATGTTTATAGTGCTTCTTTTGTGTAATTACTTTGTTAATAATTACATTACTTAATTTTGTAAGTGGTTGTTAGGTTACTTTGTTAATAATTACGTTACTTAATTTTGTAAGTGGTTGTTAGGTTGGGAGTCAGCTTCAATAATGGACTATTTTTTGAGTGAAAAATTAAATATGTAACAATTTAACTAATTTTTTTGAGTGAAAAATTAAATATGCAACAATTATACACCCATATGTCTAAGTTATAGAGCATTGTAGGATGAATTTATAAGAGTTGAGTGAAGAAGTTAAAAGAGCATTGTAGGATAATTTATAAAAATTGAGTGGAGAAGTTAAAGAGCATTGTAGGATAATTTATAAAAATTGAGTGGAGAAGTTAAAGAGCATCGTAGGATGAATTTATAAAAATACAAAGACATTTTGATGAATATATGATAATTATGCAATTAGCGTGTATAAATTCGTATAACCGTGCACTTTTACGTGTAAATAAATTTTGTCGGTAAAACTCTCGATGTACCTTAATACTGGGTGTAGTGAACGGAACATAGATGATCTTCTCCTTTTTTTTTTCCCTTCCTAAAGATCTTTTTTTTTTTCCCTTCCTAAAGGATACAATGTTCTGTATATAATTTGATTGCTTAAATGCACCCACTTTCACAAACAAACTTAATCTTTTTTCATGGCAAAATAATTCAAAATCCTCAGTTCATGATCCAGACTTGATGAAAACAGACGACTATTCACAACTTTAAAGTAACCAGAGCAAAGACTAATTTATTCAAAAAGAAAACTTCATATATACATATATATCATACATACAAAAGCTTGTTGAACGCATGCAACACAAGACCACCCATAGATATATATAAATATAAACACAAAAAAAAGTTTCTAGTGATCCCAACCAGGACTGGAAGTCCTAAACAAAGACCCTAGCTGCCCCATGACTTGCATCAGAAGCAACTGCTGCAGGCTTGCAGTCCACCTCCCTCACCACTGTCTGCACGCCTTGTCCTCCCCCATTCGCCATCGGATGTATTCCTTGGCTCGGCCCTTCCATGTTCACCCTCTTCTCTCTCTCCTCCCCAAACTTCACATTGTAACGCCTCTCCACATCTATTTCAAAAAAATACAAAAATAAAAAAACAGACCATCGCATGCATATATATACACAATCTGAATCTCATCAACAACAGTACCTTCAGCCAGGTTTTCATAGAGCTGGCCGTCCCTAGTGATGGCCATCATGATCTGAGGAATGCCAAGTGGCAGGGCGTCCCCTCTGTCCACCTGCCAGAAGTGTATGACTTTGCCGTAGGTCTTGGCCGCTTTCTCGAGGTCCTGGCGCTGTATGGGGCCTGGGACGCCCGGCATGAAGAGGACTCCGCTCTTGACCTCGAACTCGTGGGAGTGCCAAAGCCTCTTCTCCTGGTCGGGCAGGGTCAGGAAGAGGGCCTCCGACACTATGTACTCGAGACCGATCAAGCGCCCGTCGGACTCCGGACGGTCGTAGATTAGGCACTGACGGAACTCCTCGTTCTGGTGCGCGCAGTAGTGGTGGGCCTCCACTTGTCGAGTCATGTCGTGCCCGTAGAAATGGAATCTGCAACACATATTAGTTAATTAATTAATTAATTATATAAGATGGGGAATATAATTATATATATACGGACGCGCAGAGATGCTGGTGAATCTTGTTGACGGGTCCAAAGCTCTGAATGGCGGCGGTGCCTTTCTCGAGAAGGGCGGTGGAGGTCTTAGTGGGTTCCCCAGGGATCTCAGGATGGGTCGATACGTTAATTCCTTCCATATTTTTCAGATCACAAATTATTGGTGTGTGTAGGAGATGAGAGATGTAATGCTGTGCTCTTTATCTTTATATGGGAAGTAGAGATGGCTATGGGTTCGCATGCAGAATGCCGCGTTGCAGGGACGTGGCACTTTCTGTTTAAAACGTGGCACTTAAGATGTCTTCTTTTCGGCGACTTGAGAGGTACCCGTTTTAACCTTTTGTGGACCCGTTCATATCTCCCCATCAGTTTAAACCAAAATATTGACGATTTCACCCTTATTGACCTTAAGATATATAACACACATGTACGGATGTATCATGTATGTAATTGTATGTCATGCGATAGACTAAGGGGCGATCGTTTATTGCAAAGTTGTCAAAATCTAACTGGTCATCGAACTGGTCAAACTACTAATTCAATGGTTTACTAGTCTGATCAGTAGTGAAACTTGTTGGACCGTTATTTAATTTATTAATATTTTATAGATATAGTTAACTTAATTTTTAAGTTACTTAATTTATTGATATTTTAAATATATAATATATACTTTATAAATATTAAATATAGTTGGCTTATTTTTTAAAAGGTTGGTCCCACCATATATAGACTAAGCAATAAAATGATAGTACAAAAATATGAAAAAAAAAAAAGAAATATTTCCTCACACTCTCATACTGGGCAATAAAATAATCTATATCTATATCTATATGTATATAAAGAGGTTGTTGGAAAAATACATTAATAGAAATTTTGACAAAATAAATATAATGTTTGACTTACTATTAATGGAAAGTTTGAAAAAACACATGTGAATCTTTAGTAACAAAATTTAAATCCATTTTTTCGGTAACAAATTTGGAGATTCTTATGGCAAAATTTGAATCCCATTTTGTTTGTATCATATTTTATTTTTTTACCAAAATTTAAATCATATATTTTTTTGTAACAAATTTGGAGAGTCTTATGCAAAAATTGTGTCAATTATTTATAAAAATATAAATTAATTTAAAAACTGTACAAATTGGATACAAACATAGGAAGCAAATAGTTGTATAATTGTTAACCAATTCTTCCAATCTTATTGAATAATTTTTCTTTCAAAAAAATTGTATAAATTGGATAAAGTCACGTGCAATTTTTATTTTTAAATAAAACAGATATTTGGATGGAATGTACATCCAAAATTATGTCCACATTTTTTGGTAACGAAAACGGATCATCATTGATATTTAAAGTCACATTATCCAATTATTTAGGAAAAATTGTGTGCAACTTTTCAAAATTTAAATGCATCGATTTTCTTTATTCTTATGTTTTTTCTTAACCATGTTTTACCGAGATTTTGGTAAGTTTATATAATTTTCTTTAGGAAAGAGACAATTGCATAAATATTAACAATTTATTTTAATTTTTTATTAGAATTATTTTCAATTCAATTTATTTGGTACAAAAATAGGTGCAATTTTAGAAAAATTTGGTTGCATTTTTAGAAAAAATTGATGATTTTTTTATTGGTTTAAAAAAAAATCGGATCAATTTGTTTGATAAAAAAATCGGTTTATTGGTAGGAAAATAGGTTTCATTTCTAGGAGTAACTAATGATTCTTTTTAATTTTTCTTAATTGAAATTTAGAATTAGATTTGAAATAAATAATAAGTGAATGTCCTTAGAAATTTTTATTTTTTTTTCTACGTTAATTTTGTTTAATAAATAAGATCCTTTAATTTTTTTTAAAATTAGTTAACTAATAACTAATAATATGCAATTTTGGATAAATTCGAAAACACCTATGTAGTACTTTACGTAATAAAGAATCAAATCAATAATGGTGTACATAAGGAAGTGTTTAATAACATACAAAGTTCATTTTCATGAAATTTTTAATGGCATGAGATAATTTAAATACAAAATACATTTTAAAAAATAAATAGGTATAAATGCTCCCGTGCATTGCACGGGTACCGTACTAGTAAGAAATAAAGATGGGATATGGGAAAAGAAATTCCTTCCATACGCAGGTAAAAGGGAAAAGAAATTTCTTCCACCCGTGACTTTAGTCATTTACCTTTACAATTAGAAATTTGGAATTGTTACATCTTGTCCCACATCGTTAACCATAAAAGGTTAATTGCTTTATAAAATTGTTAGAATTTATACATAAAAATTATTTGACCGGATTGACAAAAAAAAAAAAATAACCGGTTGAACCAACCGGTTTTTGGCCGGTTCGGCCGGTTATTGACCGGTTTTGGCCACAGTCGGCTTCTTTCATTGAACCGGACCGGTGAACTGGTCGGTTCCCGGTTCAACCGGTCGGACCGGCCGGTTCGGTCCGGTTTTGACAATTATGGTTTGTTGTTGTACAGTAAGAGCATCTCCAATGCTCAAATGTTGTTGTGGTAAATTACATGCCACATCAAAACATTTAGTAATGTCATAATTTTTCATCCTCCAGTGCATAATGTAATCACAAATGTTGTGGTGATGTGGACATAATTAATGCCCACAATGTAGAGAAGAATGTGGTTCATCCACATTCTCCTCCACACTCTAGTTAGCCAATGAAGGGAAGAGAGAGAATTCTTACCATTTTTTAATTATTTAATTATTTTTTCTTACTTTAATATTTGGTAAGTAGATAATATTGTAGATAGACTAGACAATATGGCGTATTAGAGATGATTTTTTAATTTCATGATTGTGAACTTAAAATTTTTCCGACATGGTTCACACTCTATTTAATTGATTGACATTTGTCATAATTTATTCAATACTAACATTAGAGCATTGGAGATGCTCTAAAAAAATAAAACTCAAATGTAACTCAACTTTAACGTAACCCCACTATCTCCCATATTATCAATATAACTAAATAATAATGTCAACCAATCATTCGTACACATAACATCAACTTTAATTCACTATTCATCCACTCACATAATTTTAACTAACTATCATTTCTAATAATTTTTCTCATACTTTACATCAAATCAACTTTAATTATTTTATTAAAATATTATTTTAATATATCCACTGACAAATAACCATATCACATATTTTAAAAATTAACTATAATTAAAAAACAAACTAAATAAAAATTAGTTGAATCCATAAACAATCACTCCTAAAATTGCCTACTCAAATTAGTCGATGTGTTGTTTATTTTAGTTTATTGTATTTTGTAAATGATTACCTATGAAAATTGCCTACTAATTAATGAACAAATAAAAAGTCTATTTGGATAAATAACAACTTATCGAAAAAAAAAAATCAAAAACAAAAAACAAAATATGCATCCATAAATAGTTAATAAACTGAAAATTAATTCTTCCTAAAACGCGTCGAAATATAAAGACGGTTTATCTAAACCAAACTCTCATCTCTATAAAAATAAGGAAAAATATTCCATGGCTTTGCTCGTATAGACGACAATTTTAGAATCCCTACAACGAATAATTAATAACTTGTATTTACACAGATATTGGTACATAACACTACTAAATATGTTTCTACAAATGACATGTGAATGAAATAATCATTTCTTTATTCATTCTTAATTCTATAATTGGAATATTTTTTAGAATAAAATAATCATTCCCTACAATTAAACATCATCTATGCCCCTCAGTCAAATCTTTGTTTGCTAAAGGGAGAATTTCCAAATACATCAATCACACTATCCTCACCCTTATACCAAAAAATAAATGCCTCTTGTGTTGATGTTTATACTGAAAGCTCGGATTTTTGATTGACACAATACTCGTTTGAGTTAGAATCATGCTTAAGTAATTAGTCTACATTATGATGTTTTATATTTGGATATTGTGGTCCATCACTGATGAGACGGAAGATCATGTATCGGTTACTTGTAAAACATAAAAACTGTACAGTCTGTCTTAACTGATTGGTTACACTAGTTCACTCTGTGTGTTGAACAGATTCCAAAGAGGATAAGTTTGTTTTATACTGATCGAGTAAACAAAATGCACCTCAGTTAATTACTGCGTACTCTTAACCCATAAGATATAAATAGACATGTACATACAATAGCTTGCTACTTTGATTCACAAAAAAGTGTTATTCATTTAGTTGGTCAATAATCTAACGTGCTTTTGAATAGTGATGTTGTGTGTATGGTGTGCTGCTTGAATAATTACGGTCGTCGTGTGGGATAGTCAGATGATATCCCCGAGATGAGATCAAGAAGAATTATTATGTTAAACCTGACCAGTGGAATTTATTCTGGCATAATAATAAAGGTTTGAGTGGTACTAGTCTTGGTTCAAGAAGTCAATGAATTATATTATCAGTAATTAGATTAATTGAGGAGCATTATATCTTAACACGGAGATAAATCGGGTAAATTATTATTACCTCAAATGCAATTTGGGCGCTAAATGGGGAGTGCAATAATATTTTCTTAATGGTTTGAAATAATATTCAAGTTTGTGCAGAATGGGTTCGACCCACGTCATACCCAACGATCTTTGTTGACACCACTAACTTGTCGATGTGTGGGATGTGAACCTCCTGAGTATCAGTTGGTCCAAAGTAGGGATCAACGGTGGGACTCGACTAATCTCTACCTGGCTTAACACTGGATCTTCACTCCTGGTGGTGTGATCTGTATCACGTCATATTCACCTGATGGCGGTGCGCGGCTATTCAACGATCCGATCTCCACCACGAAAATGATAGGTTTGGGACTTGGGGATAAAGGAGGTCTCATGTCTATCCAGTCTCCCCTAAAATCCTCTAATAGGTTCCTCTGTAAAGCCTCTCTGTCAGCCATCTCTGGTGATCAGAATCTTGTGAGAGAGCTCTTAGTTCATTCAAAAGATCCCCACAGACGACGACAAATGATGTGTCGGAGACCTGGATTTTGGTTAAATCGGCTATGAAATACCTTCGATCGTCCATGAGCTGTTGATTACCTGCAAAATAAGTGCCAGGGTATGTTTATTTTGTTTTTGTGCTTATTTTCGTGTGTTTTATGTGCTTTAGTTTAGTCTATCTAAGTTCGTTTTTGTGTCGACCGGTCTAATTTATCGTGTTTTGTGTGTTTTTATGTCTTTCTTTTTATTTCATATTTTTGGCGTACTTTTTCGTGCTCTTAGGTGTATTTTCAGGTTTATTTCGTGGATGAAGAGAAGAGTCGAACCGAGCTCCGAGAGACGAGCATTTTCTAAAGAATCCCGAGAAGTTTCGAGCCAATTCGTACGAGCCAATTCGTACGAGCCATTTTCATTCCGAGAATTTTGAGCCGTGTCGTTCCCAAGTCTCAAAATCGACTCATACTCTCGATTCTGCGCCGAGACCCGCGACCTTGCCATCAATTCCGCGACCCGAGAGTATCCTTGCCAAGCACCACTCGCGACCTCGCACTGCCGTCCGCGACCTCGAGAGTGCTCCATCCCTCACGTCCGCGTGCTCGAGCTGCCCCGCGACGTCGAGAGTATCTCCATTTGGTCGTCCGCGCCTGCGAAGCTCGCCGCGACCTCGAGAGTGTCCCCCATGCCTCTCACCGCCTCGTGCCGCACCCCACGCCATCCGTACCCGCGACCAGCGAAATGCTCCGCGAGCTTGGGAGTGTCTTTAGTAAATGTGCGTGAAACTAGTGTGTGTTTTGAGCTGGACTATAAATACATTTTGGCCCTTTGTACTTTGGCCATCTAGATTTCATTTCTCACTTTACCACTTTAGGAATAACTTTTCTTTTTAGTTTTCTCTCTTCTCTCTCTTGGGAGCTCTATGACATCATTTTCTGGCGAACTTTTCCGGCGACTCTTATTTTGTTCAAGTTCCGAGCTTTTCACTCCGATTTTCGTCTAGCATGCAATAGAAGATTGGGTATTTACTTTTAAAGCTCATTACTTTGATTTTTGCCTTGTTTTCACTTATGATGATTATCAAGGTGAATTTGGGTGTTTGCTTGATGATGAAGGGAATGTTTGGACTTGATCATTGCTCTTGCTTGTTTTAGTAGGGACTAATTACTTGTCTATCTAGATTAAGGGTTAGGACTCTATTTAGAGCTTAATCACTTAGGTTAGAAGGTTAGAGTTAGTGACCTAGTGCTTAAAACTTGCGTATTGTTCGTCGTTGAATTCATTTTGTGCCGATGGCATAGAGACTCCGGTAGTGTTAATTGCTTTATTCTCTCGTTTATTTGTTGTTTTCAATTTCGAGCATTGATTAGCATTAATTCACTCTCCAACCATTGATTAGCATGTTTAGCTTTTATTTTCTCATTTTGTGTGATTTGGACAATTGAGTGGTGAACGAAGCTCCGAACCGTTTTCATTTGAGAATGACTCGAGGTCGGGTAGCTCGGTTACCAACTACCCAAAATACTACAAAACAGGGTGCTCACTGAGTGAGCACTCTGACACACAAGTTAGTAAGGAGAAGAAAATGATAATGTGCTCTATATGTACATAATTATGAAGAGTGTTTTTATAGAGTTTGCAGTTTTCCTTCATCCCTTTTGAGAGGGAATATCTTGGTGCCCAAGATTAGCTGTCTGAATTGCCCGACTGCCCAAACTTTGATCTTTTATACTTGGTGTTCATCATTATATATTTATATTGACCCCATCTTTATCACATTGTATTCCTGTTTATCTTCAATATAATCCTTATTTACATAGTTCTTCACGATTACTAAGTATTCTTCTCTTAGGTTGTCAGTAGTAGGTGTTTATTGTCCGTATCTCCTCAAGTCGTCATGCTAGATGCCACTAATTAAACCTCAGCGGTTTAGGTATCTTCCTTGTTAATTAACTCCAAATTCACTAGTTATTTGTGTAGGTCGACCCGGCTCTTAAACTTGTCGACCTATTTATCCTTAGTTTTACTTTAATTTAGCCGAGTTATGACTATATCAAACATGATATTTATTTTTATAAAATTATTTTTTAAAATTTTTTCCACTCAGCAAAAACATAATAAAACTAATTTTAATATTGTTATCACACACAGGTTCATACCAGTGAATTGAAAAGGATACTTTTTTTTATTGTAATTATATTTCGTCTCTAAACGCCTTGCACATCGCTGACTACAACAAATGATCAATTCAAATGCCAAAAATCACAAAATAAATAAATAATTTATGAGCATGCTAATTTTATAACTTTAAGATTTGGATTGAAAATAAAAACGAAACTAAAGAAGGAACAAAAAGATAGCAATCTTCAGACACAATAAGAACATGGGAGAATTGATATTAGTTGATGCATTTATTTATTCAGTCTGATCATTAGCATCAGTTTGAGTATATTATGTAAATAGATTTTGAGAAAAAGCAGTGTGATTGATTAAAGATACATACACTCCATATCTTTATCCATAAACAAGTCTGACACTAATTGACAGATCATTGTATTTATAGTTTAAAATAAAATTGACTAATTAAAGATATTCTCAATTTTGTTATCTGTAAAATATAAGTCAACATTAATTGACGAATAAACAAAAAATGACAAAATGTATCCAATCCCACGAAATAATATAAGACCAAGCAAACATAACACTTTCGAAAAAATTCAATCAAATAAAATTTTCGCAAACATAACTTGAATAATATAAGTCACGAGGTATGTTGACAAACATTTCAGAACAAATAGCAGTCATGATAAAAACTCAGTCATCAAATTCATCTTGTTTGACTATTCTTTAGGCAATAACAAGTTTTGCTAAGTAAAATAGAGCAAGTAGGGACAACAATGGTGTGCGCGCCACTGTTTATATTATAATGTGATCATCACATCAGAACTTGAGTTGACTACTGTTTTCCTCAAACACATTTGCTCTTTTTCAATAGCAATTTTAATTTTGCTGATA